AAAAGGTGAGCATGTATGACAGTGGATAGGAGAAGTAAAAGTGTTGTTAGATTTTATGACTGGGAGCTGATGCGGCGCTTTTTCTAAAAGTCATCATAGTAGACATCAGTTTCGCTTCTGTTTTAGAAATCAAGGACTTGGGCTGAAACTGATATTTACTTGCATCTTTTACGTCTGCGTTAAAGGTAAGTTACTCTCCTACGATTTGCAGTTATTGTCCTCAACGAATCGAGGATGTGATTTTGACATCCAAAAGTTCAATAGACAACAACAAGGTGAAAGTTAGAATATTGGACAAATGAGGTTTTTCACTCCTTGAATAGAAGATCAGAAACCAAAATTAGGGCCTGTAACATACGAATTTCTTAAGTGGGCAATTTACCCCACCCGATCCTCATCATCCTCTTAGTTTTTGTTCTAAAATATCTAAATGTAAATTAAACAAACTTTCAGCGGCTTAGAGACATCTTGCGATCTCTCAGCATGTGCTGGCTCTTGCAATGATGCATCCCCCAATTCTTGATTCCCTTGATACAAGACCGGAAAACCATCTAGATTTTTTTCGGTGCATTCTAGATTTCCTTGGAGCAGAATATCTTGTAGGAATATAGCACCTCCAAAGGGAGAAACGAAGTTGTTACCATAAAAGACAATCTAGAAAGGAGGTTTTGTTTCTAGCACTTGATTTTCCAGTCTAAACCTTACCTGTGTTGGTAGGTTGGGATTGGTAGGAGCAGGTACATTTATAGTTACAGGAACACCGTTGTTAATGTTAAAATCGTCGCAATTCAAAAGTGGTGTCATTGCTTCGTTTATGTTTTTAGAACATACCTTGAATGTAAACCGTTATTAATGCAGTAATTCAAGAAGAAAAATTTCTGCCTGGAGTTTTGGCTGTTCGGCTGCAGAAGCTGTCTGAGTTTTCCATGCTGTTGCTGTGATTTGAATTCCAGGTGAGAGACAAGGAAGAGAGTCGGAAATTAGCTGACCACCTTCCCATCCTGGTCTCGCATTTGAGACGAGAGCGCCTGCAGCTGAGTCTGAAAGAAGAATCTCATACGGCTGGAAAATCAACATACAGGATCGCCACTTTCAGTCCAATAAGTTGCTACAAAAGACGCAATATTGCGTCGGAAAAGAGGGATCGCTAAAGCTCGGCTCATACTTCTTCAGTTGATATTCAATTTAGATTTTTGAAATTAGCATCTTCCGGTCTACCTAGACGTTTAGAGGAATCTAAATTCATAATCCATGTTACGTCATAAATGGCTGAACAGTGACAATCGGAAAATTGTTAGCTCTATAATTGTCAGCTTTCTAGATTTAGAAAGATCTTTTGACAGCAACCAAAATTGTGTCTTCGATAATACGCGCATTTTCGCACAAGAATTAACCAATCACTCTGACAGCTCATTGAGTTTGTGTTTATGAATTCTCACCTACCACATCTTTTACAAAGTTCAAATTTTTTTTGTTGAATATAAAAAAGGGTTTTTACACGTTATGTATTCAAAGTTGTATCTGCAACATCTTCTACACTATAAGCGCACCTGAATTGGTTGCTTGTAACTATATTTATTATAATAATCCCACTTCTCTAGATGCTGGTGCAGCAAATTACCTGCACACACAATCATACAGGTTCCATTGGAAAAAAAGTAAAAATAGAGATGCAAACGTAAATACAATGCTTGTATTCACAACGTACAACATCCGGGGATGCCAATCATGAAAA